AAACTGGTAATTACAGAGGTATGTAATTTTAAATTGCACAGAAGCAAGTGAATCAAATGTCCGTCGGGGTTTGCTGGAGCCAAGACTTTAAAACAAACTTTAGCAAATGTATAGTGTCAAACCTCCTACTATTCCTTTCTTGTTAACCTCCCCATCATTTCCAAACCCCTCACACCCCCACCCCCTCCGCCCTCTCCCAGCTGCTTGTTTTCCTTCTGAAAATGAATTGTATTTTGCAGGCTAGAATAAAATATAAAAGGTTTGAATTTTTCCATGGGAAATGTGTATATACAAACATCTCTTTCAAATAACTTGTCCCTAATTTAAGATGGCTTAAAATAGTTCACCTTGTGTTGGCGTACATGCATGGGCCACTTTGAAGTTAAATTGTATTTAGCCTTGATTTTTCCAGACTATAGGATTCTTGTTCCATTTCTGTTCAAGTACTCTGAATACTTTTAATGTCTTGCTCAATCCTTACAATGAGTAAGAAATTGTAGGATAGTAAGCTGCTTACATATACGGACTTAATTGCTATCATCCACATCCTGGCTGCACCTTTTTTAAATGTATGTAAATGGTGACAGAAATTCAGATTGTTTTGGAATTTCTGCCTTCCAGTTATTGCTTCAGGAGTACAGTACACAGTGAGATGTTACAGTCACTTGGGTGAGGATCATGATTTAGTCCCATGATAGTAGCATATATCTGACTACTGAGAACTGCTTTTTCTTCTTTTTTGTTTAATTAGGCAACCTCTTGGAAATAAATTTGTGGTGAATTCTTCTTGTCAGGAACAGTCAAACTAAAAGATAATCTTGATGATCAGCATTTTATTAAAATTACCTTATAGGATAGATACATTTTACTTTGCAATAGTCAGCTGTTGAAGACTAACATGTAAAAAAAAAACTAGTTCATACATGGTAATGACTGCAGAAGTCATACTACAAATCCATTAGACCCTCTCTTCAGTCATTCAGATATTTCATTGCTGAAATTATCCATGGTTGGTCTCTGCCGAGGAACAAATTCATTTTGTAAAGTTGTAGGGAGGGTGCAGGAGTTGGACTTGCATTCAAACCTCAAGTGAATATATGAAGGTGCAAAGCATGAATACCGTGTATTCAGGATGTCTTTTTGCATTCAAATAGGTTTTTCAATGTTCTCTGCTGCCAGGCTTATAGTGATTAAGGATTTCCCACCTTGCAGAGCATATGCTACAGAGACTTGCCATTCAAAAAGCAGCTGGTCTGCATCTGCCTTACAGAAACAAAATGCTGGGCTTGAACAGTCCAGGGTGATTTCTGTGGTGGGGGTCATCATGCAAGTAAACCTCAAGATAGAGTGGACTGATATGTTTTAGAGGCTACTGTTTTCCAAGGAGATTTTTATTATTACATATATGCTTAGGTGAACAGAATGGAAGTACATGTAAATACATACAGGATTCATTGCTGTTCCATGGAAAATGTTACCGGCAAAGGAAAAAACCTACAAAACAGGATTAACACTTCTGCATTCTGTTTTCTTTCTTTTTAGATATAAATATTAGGGCATGTGTTTAAATGTTGCTGTTACAGCCCACAATCAAATTGTGAATTTATTTGACTGTAATTGAGCAGTAGTGCAACTTATTTTATTGATTCCTGGAGGATACAAGCCCCAGAATGCACTTTATCTTGCAATGAGAAATGTGATGCTTTTTATGAGTTGGGGTTTATACAAGATAGCAACTATTTCAAAGGAGAAATTTATCTAAAATAGGGGATCCTGTGATTTTGCTATGGAAACACCAGGCTCAGAATTCTTTGTGGGCAAGATTATATAAATTGATTGGTGAATTTGGATGTTTAATCAACACTTGTCCTTGCTGTTGTTTCATCCTCCAAATTCTGAACCCCCATGTTCTGCAAATGGGACCTTCTGAAACCCTGGGGTTTAAAAGATCACAATTTAAAGGAGTAATTTGAAATGGATTCTTAAATTAGGTTTTGCTAGTTGTCCTGTTCTGGTATTTAATTCCTAAAATAGACTAAGGATTTCTTAAGATGATATCTTTTATTGGACCAACTGTGTGGTCAAGATATAGTTAGATAAGCTTTTGAATGCAAGGCAGTCTTCTTCAGGTCTGAGCAGAGCAATTCAAATGCAGCATGGTAAAGAGTTTTAGGAGGGGTTGAAAGAAACTTCCGGGAGTGGCAGACACATAATTAGTCAAAGAAAAAAAATTACTGGAAGATCAAGGCCTATCAGAAGGGAGGAGGGGTCATTCTCACCTTTCATGTGTGGAAAGAATTCAGGAGTCAGGAAAATAATTATTAAGTACTCATATCAGTGTTTTGTCCTTGGTTCTTAATGTCCAGCTAGCTAATGAATTTTGTCCCAAGTCTGTCTTTTGAAGATGTTAGGTCTATTTTTCCCTTGAGTATGAGGATAGTGAGGACAGAGGGGGAGTGATTGCTCTGCAAGAAATGTGTGTATCTCTCTCCTTTTATATTTTTGTTATTATATTATTATTAGTCATCCCAAGCACAGGAAGAAAGCTATGATCTACAGTCAGGCCCTCAGATACCACAACATCTGCTCTGAGGAAAACACTTGTGATGCCCACCTGACCAGCCTAAAATCTGCCTTTAATGCAAGGACACTCCCATAGAGAAACAGACCATACATTTGAAAAAGCTATCCAGATACCCCAGAGTATCCTGCTACAATACAAAAAGAAAACCACCTACAACCACACACCGCTTGTGCTCATCTACCACCTCACACTGGAAGAATCAGAAGAATCATTGAACTACAGCATATACTTGACAAAGACCAGACCTTGAGGGAAATATTCCCAATGCCTCTGTTCCTGGTTTTCAAAACGTTCCCTAACCTTATCCCAACTCATCATCTGAAGCAAACTTGCCACTGCCCAGAAGACATTGTGGGACACATTCTTGCCTTGGCAAGAAATGCTTAACTTGTCAGCACATCTCCTCTGCCACTACTATTAGCGGCCTCCATAACAAAACCATCAGAATCCATGGTTCCTACCTGTGCTTTTCCCAAAAGGTGATATACCTGATCCAATACACCAAGGGCCCCCATGACAACTGCATAGGTGAAACTAAACAGCAACTATATGCTAAAAGGAGCTCTTGTGAAGAAAAAAAAAAGACACTTGCATCATTAGAAGCACATTCCTCACAGAACAACAACTTGCTCCCTGACCGTACTATGCTCATACTTGAGAGAAATCTAGCTACATCTTTAGATGGTGAATACCAATGAATAAGCAGGCTGGAAACTAAGAAATTTAAGACAAAACATTGGTATGTTGTATAGCACATTATAATTTTCCTGACTCCTGAATTCTTTCCACACATGAAAGGTGAGAATGACACCTCCTCCCTTTTGATCAGCTTGTTTTCTTTTTGCTAATTATGTGTCTGCTGCTCCTGGCAGTTTCTCTGACCCCCTCCAAAAGTTGTTCTTTACCATGCTGTTTTTGGCTTGTTCTGCTCAGACCTGAAGAAGAATGTCTTGTGTTCAAAAGCTTGTCTAACTGTATCCCAACCATATAGTTGGTCAAATAAAGAGATCACCCTAAGAAATTCTTGCCTCTTGCATAATTTCTGGACCATCACGGCTACAACATCACACTTGCTCTAAAATAGATTGTACGTTTCACTATTTTTAAGTTTGTATTGCAGTTGTTAGTAAAACTTTAGATTTTCTATAGTTTTTTTTTTCTACTAAGGTTTCACATTTCAAATGTTTGTCATTGTAGTCCTGGACCTCATTAAAATCCATATGCCAAGAATACTATGGACCTGAAACACAAAACTGATAGGGATATAGCTATGTGGTAATTGATAGTATATATAGCTGGTGTGTTGGTAATCAACATCACTTTTCAATAGATGTCTCTCTTGTTCTTGAAAAAATATTCGCAGAATTATTGCAAACTTGTTATATAACGAAAACCTAAATAACTTTTGTTGACACCAAAGCAATTTTATTTTGAAATATTGAGGCTGTCTTATGCCATCAAAGGAAGCCTTTAATAATGCAACCTTATCCCCTGTTGCTTCAGACCCCTTGGCAAATGCTTATCTTTAAGCATAAATAGTCTAATAGAAATCAACAGGAAGTAAGTTCTGTAGCCCCTTGAATACTCTTGGGATCAGGGCTTTACTTAGTCTTATACAGTTGTGTAAACATCAGATATATTACCTATATTATTCAATGATTTTTTAAAAATTAAGAATCAAGCCTTAGTGTTGCCTCTCAGTACATTTGCATTTTATATATTCTTTCTCTATATGATTTTTGTGTGATGGTCTTTTATTCCATACTGAAAGTTGCAATTCATACTAGCCGTAAATTTGCATTTTAACCCAAGAAATGTACATTGTGTGTATTTTAAAATAAATGCCTTGAAAATCTCTTTAGTCTTTTTAACATTATTAGGAAAGAGCTTTTAACAGTTTTGAAATAGCTGTTCAGAAGCGTGAAACAACGTATTATCCATTAACAGATGAAAGGGGAGTTGCTTCAGAAATAAGATCTCATTTTAGCAATAAATAAAATGAATATTTTGCAGCCTTAAAAGTGTATATTTATAACAGTGTAATTTGCTGTTCACTAAATCTTTCTGGCAGATTTATTTCATACTAATGCAAACTTTTGTTAGGAGGTCACGTAGAACAGGAAAAGCGTTACCTGTGTAGAACGTTGTTCAGATGAGTTGTTTGCTATTTCTCACTATACACACACTATTTCTCATTAATCTGTTTCCTGCCCACCCCCGCCCCACAATCTTGTGTGTTAAACGGGTTGGCCCCTACCATTATGTTAAATGAAATTGGGGTTTTTTTTGTTTGTTTGTTTGTTTTCTTTGTTTTGAGACCTGATCTCATGCTGCACTTTGGCGGTGGGTTGTTGTTGTAACCTGCTATATTCAAAACCTTAAATTAAAGTTAACTGTGTGTTATAAAATTGGTTCTGCAAAGGAACCTGCTAGTGTGTTTCTAGTATGGATTTTGGTAAAGGTAAAATAAGGAGTTCCTGGTATCTTGATCAGGTATTGTAGAATAATTCTTTTGGTGTTTATTGCTATCTTGAAATCTAATTTTATTGCTAATAGCAAAAATTCCTAGTGCTAAAGCAGCCATTGTGGAACTTGGATGAACTATAAACATAATTTACCTTGTGGAAAAACAGTTTTTGCTTGACAGTGAAACATTTTTCAAGTCTTGAAATACTGCTATAGGGACTACATTCAAATAAGACTTGTTGAGATTTGAGATTTCCTAGGTAGCATTTATAAATATTTAATGACACTTTTTTTTGTCATAGTTTGTGAAATGCTTTTAGAAAATTCTAATTTTGTGAGAGTGCTTAACTTTTTTTTAATGAATTTCATGGTGTGAAGATACCTATATTAGTTTAGCGAATCTGAGAATTCAAATTTAGTATTAATATTAAATAAAACATGCTGAAGGCTCATAATGTCTTTTGAAATTCCTTGGCAAATATTCAGTATATTGTAAAATTCTGATTTAAGTTGCAAAACAGTGTTGTTAGAGGATTGGGAATTGGGCTGTCGTAATAATCTTATTTTCTCACAAGATGTAACATTTTTTTTTGTATGGTAGCACTAAAACATGCTCACTTCAATCCTTGTCTTTTCTGAATTATTGGTGTTTACCTTGGTTGTGTGAGATCTTATTTTTTAAAATTTTTTTTGAAGCATTTTCAGGTATAGTTTTTCTACTTTTCGATAAAAAGTGCTGAGTTTCAGTGGAAGTCAGGCTTGCTAATAGTTGCAGTGGATGAGTGTTATCCCAAATAAAGAAAAAGACCGTAGTCTGGAAACATCAGATTCATTAACTCTCCATGCTCTTTCAGTTGTTTCACTATGTTGCAAACTCAAAATGAAAGGAAATAAAATTTGGAGTAAAATGTAAAAAATATTACTTTAAAGTAAGCAAGTGTATTTTGTATTTCACAGTTCATATTTTTCTGGTTAATAGCAATACTACAGTGAACCATTGGCAAATTTTCTAGAAGTGACTTCCTCTTGTTGCTACTATGTCTACCACTCATTCCAGAAAAAGAAAAAATAACTAGAATTGGTATTCCTTACAGGCAGAACTTTCCTACACATGTGCATGCGCGCACACCCCCTCTCGATTAATTTACCAGGAAAAATGGTGACACTTCAAAAAATGCCCCACCCACCTTCAAAAAACAAACCTTAAATTATACTGCTAAGCTGATTTGAAACAGAATCCAGAAATTTAAAAGTTCAATTTAACAGCCAGTTGCTTAACCGGTTA